TTGAAACAGTTTCAAATTTGAGCGCTTCAACACTTTATAACCGCTCTAAACAATGCGCAATGTGTGGGTTGTTGTCGTAGTTTGCATTGTTGCTGTTGAGTTGTTGTTGGCATTGTATTTGAATTGGATCATTATAGAGCAAGCCAGGAAGAAAAATAGGTCGTTCTGGCTCGTGAAACACTTCGAAATGTGGAGAAGTTGTGAACAAAAAGACAATGAGTAATATAAAAACACTTCGATGGTCTAAGGAATTGATAGCCCAGTGGATAGAGCCGGCGGCCAGGATGTGGCGATATCCTCCGCGCAGCTGGTTCAAAGCTCGGAATAGTTAAACTTTTAATCATTGCTTTTCAACTTTAATACTTTAATAACTGATAAAAGGCCCTCTCCGCCCAAAAAAATGTCAAGCACTCTCTAGTCTCTTCTCAATAACCCAATACACACTATTATCAATCTTTAATTGCAAATAGAACATGATATTCAGTCTTAGTGTGTGTGTGTGTATCGAATATTTTTCAAGGCAAAGATGCGTTAAACCCACTGCAGCCTTGCACTTCGCCAGGAGAGGTCGCTGTAACTGAAGCTTCGAGAAATGAACCTATTTCCGACACAATTGTCCAAGTGGTTCGACGCTTCATTCAAAGCTTCATTTTGCCATCACTACTTGTTACAGCCGCTGCCTTCCTTGGGCTGTCAAGGCTGGTAAACCTGTTTGTGTGTGTGTGTGTGTGTACACCTGAGCGGCGCAGTTCCTCCGACGTCCCGCCCTCGCTGCATACCGAAGAGGTGATTGGATGAGACGTCATCCAATCCCCGCCCTTTCCGGCACATCTCCCGGGGGAAGGAGTACAAAGGCTGGGAACGGAGATCATTCTGGAGGCTCTGTGTAGGGAGACAGACGTCTCTAGCCTCGTGATACTGTGTGTGTTTATACTGTTAGCTCCCCCGTAATCCGCAGATACTTAGCCGAGTGCAAGTAGTGTGTTGTGCCTCGCTTATTGTGTAACGTTGTGTAGGAGTATTAGCTTCGACCCAGGTGA